TTTTTTTTGGTCAGTTGGCCTCTAGTTTTTTTACCAGCCCTGGTCTTTTGGCAAACCCTTAAAGATGTTCATTGTAGCAGTCAGCCTTGCTAGGTTTGCAGATTTTACATTTGAATGTTGTGGAAATCTTTGAGTTTTTTCTTCAAGTGAACTATGACAACACATGTAGCACCTTTTTAACATGCTTACCAAGGGATGCTCTTGAATCAGGCCTGCTGTGATGTTCAAAAAAGCTTCTGGTTTCAACAAGGCTACATGACTTGTAAGAAGTGAGAGCAGCTGCAACAGCACATCTTGAACTTGTAATGTGGCAACAATGAATCTGAGAAATGCTTCATTGCCAGATCCCCAATGCACAATAAATTATAGGACTGTGACCCCACTCTTCCTTTCAAAATCTATTTTGTTAATTTAGAAAAAAACAAATGTTCCAAATGGAAAATCTTAAAGGAAGTTGAACTCAGTGCTTGTTTTTCAAAATGCACATCTGAATCACAAACAGCATCCTCATCATCAGACAGATCTGGCAGAAGGCATTTATATTGATATTAAAGTTGAATTTTTTCTTGCTTCAACAAGGTGACTCATTTGAAACATCCTTTACAGTCATTGATGTTTCCAGTAGAAGTTTGTCAACTTCTGTAATAGAGGTGTACTCCCATCCTCCTGCCAATACACATGTGCCGTTGTATCATCCTATAGCATCTTGATCAGCCTAAAGTACCTGTCCTTTCAGCCAGCAACACAAAAGAAATCATGGGCCACAGAGACTATACTTGCCCTCCTGTGAACAATCCTGGAATCTTTTATTCTACAGTCCATTATGTATCTAATTTAAGTCTAATAAAATTTGAAAAATATTACAAAGCATTTTATTGATAGCAAATAAAATAAAAATTCTCCCATATGGCTGAATATTCAGTCAAATTCAATAAAACCTGGTCTAAAGTAAAGCTGCTTTTAGATGTAGAATGCTTTGTTCAAGTTTCTATTATTGATGCACAATGGTCTTTATGATTCCAATTGAAAAAAGTTTCAATAAAAATGTTAGCTAAATAAATTCTTTAGTTTCAAATGGCCAGAGTTTCAAAAATGACTCTGAATATTCAGTCATTTTCTCACAAATTTGTGACAGAAAGAAAGCATACAATATTATTAACCCAATATCAGAGAAATAAGTGCCACCATTGAACATAAACTCACATTGAATGACACAGTACATAAACCCTAAAAACGGAAGTATGTAGGGAATTTTGTTCCTGACTTTAAGGCTTTAAAAAATAAGGGTCAGGTGATAAAAAATCCAGTATCTCAAGTGTAGAGACACCTTATTGGACAAAAATCATCATGAGGTGAAAGGTGAAATCTATACCTACCAAAAAGCATAACTTTAACCTAACTTTTGTTAATCAGAAATAAAAAATTCAGTCATTTTCTAAAAAGTTTTGATGAAAAGTAACTCAAAAATGATCCAGTTCATTATCAATATTATTTTTGTATTGCAATAAACTGAGTTGAAAGATAAAAATCCCGGAAGAAAAAAAATCTACCTGGCCTTATTTTGGGCTGTGCAGGTAATTTCATGTCACATATTTTTTAACCGAGAATACTCCAAATTCAAAGGCTTGCAAATTTCTGAGATTTTTAGACCAACTGATAGACAGTTATGTTGGGTATAAATCTATGCTAGACAAATCAAGGGAATCTTAACAAGGAAACATGTAACAGGATTTATGAAAACTTGAAAATATGACTGAATATTCAGTCATTTTCTTCCCACTTATCATTAAAGTTAGATTCTCAACACTTTAAAAAGTAAATTAGAATTTTATTACAGGACAAGAAATACAATTAATACCAGCAATCAATTTTATCCAAAATAATGGCAAATACTGAGTGAAATGGGCCAGAAAGTTCAATGGTTCTATACAACTAAAAGAAAGATCTACTTCTACAAAGAAAACAATTTAAAATTTCACATTAAAATATAATTTTAAATATAAGACAAAGATTAATAAAAAAAAAAAAATGCTAGCAATTGATTTTTCATTTTTTCCTTAAAACATGTTTTACATTTCTTTAAAATTGAGTTAACCAAAAGAAAAGAAAAATACATTTACATTTATGTTGATGTCAAATCTCCTTTGCTTTTTTTCAGTTTTTAGTCTGAAAGCAGTTGACTGAAAATGTAATTAACTGTTTCAATAATAACCAATAATTTTTTTATATAGTCTCTGATTTTATGGCATTCTATCATCATACCCACCCTTTATATCTTTTGAACTTTTTTCATAGACATGAAAAATCAAAATGAAAGTACTGCCTGCCAAAGCCTTGGACTTCTCACATAGGTGTGAAAAAATTTTGTATTCAAGTAAGTACTCACAAAACACTAAATGGGAGGGGTTAACTATAATTAATAACCAGCCCAAATTGATCAATTTGATCCCCACTGCCAGACAGCACTTTTTGGAGATTTTTTAAAACAAGCTAAAGTAATTTGAACCCTAACTAAAATTTTCTTCACAGGTTTGGCCAAATTATCAGCATTACCAACAGCCAGGGTTGAAATTCTCTGAAACCAGCTACTTTACTTCATAATAGGCCACTAACTATCTGAAAGATGAAATACAGTGCTGTTATCCTTCACTGTACATATGGTCAATATTGCAGTATGGGAACTGAGAACAAAAAAAAAAGAACAGAAAAACAGAAAAGATAGTCTAAACTTGAGTATGGTAATGGTGAAATTAACTGTTTTCATACAGGAAATATTTGGTAATTCTTGACCAAACAGTTAACATTACAGTTGGTGGAAATTTACAAAATCATTTTCTTAAAACATTTTTTTAAGAAATTAGACTTCTTAGGTCCACTAACTGTTATTGCTCTTTCCAATATTGATGAGTTTCTTCTCCAATCTTTTCTTTAAGGTTGTGTGGAAAGTGAATATCTTGATTATATCATTATTTTACCTTCTAGTTATATGTGATACAATTAGTATCATCAGACTTTTCTTTCCAGACAAACATAAAATACATATTTTGATTTTGACTAACATTTAAAAAGTATTTCTATTCTGTAAATAGCATGCAAACAGAAATGAAGGGCTGAATAACAATTCCTTGTACAAAAAGTGAATTTTAAATTATTTGAGTGCCAACAGAGACTGTTTATGTTCACATTAATGCTCTTAGAAAAGGCATGAACCTGTTCTCCCTTACTTGGTTAGTTTGAAGTGAAAAGCTGTTATCGCTATAGTTAACTTCGACATGTTCCAATAAGACATGATGTCATTATATGAGCAAAGAATTTATAAACATAATTTGTACATTATATTTGATTTTTATTAATATCTATAATTTGATGAAAACAAAAAAGCAGGATAATCTCTGTCTGCAAAACTGATTCTTGTAAAATTGAAAGCTATTTAAATTGTAAAAATTAATCTACAGAGTCTAGAAAAATTACTTCAAAAACAATGAAAGTTCAGTTTCAAACATGTCACTGAATCTTTGAAGCAGATTAATATTTGTTTTGACATCCACTTCCTCCATTTTTACTATCTGTAAAAATTGCTTTTGGACTCAAATAGCAAGAGGTTGTCAGTGGACTTAATGTAAAGTTTGTGATTTTAATTCTTGTCTCTGGTCTAATATCTGTTTAGAAAGAAGGAACTCTGAAAAACATTCTTGTAAGTAATCAATGTTTCATTAACAAAATATTTGAGTAATTTTAAGAAATATTTCTATGATTATTGCCATCATCCTCACATTACATGTAGAAAGGGCAAAAGTAAGTTTGAAAAGTATACAGTAATTTTAATTAATGAACAAGGATGTGTAATTACATTTAAAAGGAATTTTTAAATATGAAATATAGCTTAAGGTTGATTGAGAAATACCATGTTAAATTTCTAAGTTATAGATAAATAAGGATAATAGGAAATAACTGATTTTTTTTAAATAGTAATTATATAATTTTCAAAATAAATAAAAAAAATCATAGGTATATTAAGTAACTTGGTAAATGGATTGCTATTAAAACAATTCTAACAATTTGGAAAAATTAAAAGCGGAAAATAGATAATTTTACCATAAATTACTTACTATAATTAATCTCATATTGAAAAAAGTGAAGGAAAATTTATAATCATTTATTTTAAATTAACCCTATAGTTTGGGGGCAAATTTTACTCTATGTTAAATTTAAGATTTATATATTTTCCTTTAAGATTAAGAATAATTTAAATTAATACCTTTAAAAAAAGATACTAAACTGATTGAATTATAACATTTTTTGTTCTATTTTCTAAATTCAAATTCATTTTTTAATTTTACATCGTCAGTATATTGTAGTGTTTTTTTTCTACTGAAATTAAATAGTAACAGTATTAAAGAGCACTAATAAAATAAAGAAATAAAAATATATTTATGTGCACAAACGAAACAAAAGGGTAGATTGACTTAAAAGAATGCCAATAGCCATTTTTTAAAAGTATTTTTAGTTTTAGCATGTCATTAAATCCTTGGTAAAAGTTTGAAGGAGTCTCGTGAATGAATAGTTTTAGTAGTTTTATTTACCAAAATTTAAAATAAAAACGAAAATAGAGAAAAATGTTCAGCTTTAGATAAAGAGCGACGTGATTATTTATTTATTGGTTTGTTTAGTTTAGTGAGTCATAAAAAGAAATAAAAGTTACTTAATGAATGAATATGACCTTTTTTTTTTGCATTTTAAAATGGTCAAGTCAAGTTACTGCATAGTCATCATCCTACCTAAATCATCATGACGAGATGACTATACTGTAAAAATGATATTACCGATAATGGTATTTACAAACCGGGTCTGACGTATTTTATAAGTAAGAAAAGCGTGAAAAGTTATTCAATTAGAATATATCAATGAAAGCGAAGAATAAAAATATACATTTGCGGTGGACTTTATAACCAATCATATTGCAGCCATTTGTATTCTGCGGAATTGCTTTTTGGGGAAAAATGGCGACTAGTGTGCTCCTAGAACAAGGCTGGTGGGTATATTTATATTTTTATGGCAAGTTTCTAACGCTATAGTTTTTTTTGACGTTTTGCTGACCACCTTGCAAACGTCCTAATTTTCGTTTAACCTTCTTTTGTCTTGGCATTTAAACAGCAACATAAAAATGAATATCTGTCATTTCGTTTGCTAAAAGAAACTTGGTTAAAGTGCTACTATTTCATTCAAGATAATTCTTGTTTCTTCTACTACGTCTGAATTTATCTTAATTCTTAACCGTAAGCATTTGCTTCCAAGTGATTAAACGGAATTTCCTTCGTTCTTTAAGATTATATTGACTTTCTTAAATGTCTGTAAGGCATTTATGTAAATAACTTTGGAGTAATCAAATTTCATGCCTCACTCCTGTATCGATTCATTTTTTTTTTTTTTTTGTATACAACGAATTTCTCTTGTGTCCAGCACATTTAATAACACTTTATAAAATTCAGCTTAATACCTTTGTTCTATTAACGACGTTTTCCTCCTTATTTGTGTCTGCTTATTGGAAGCGTGTTTATAATAATGAATTTTCTATTGCCATAGTTAATTTAAAAAATATATATATATAAATTAAAAAAAATTAACCTAAAATTTTGTCTTCGAAGATCGAAAAATATTCAACTCTTTGCTCAACACATTGAATCTTTTTCTGTAAAAAAAAAATAGGTTTTGAAATGTTTAATTATAATTTTTTCTCTGATTTTGTTAATTGAAATAAGTTGAAACTGAGATTCTGCTCTTTGTGTGGCTGAACTTGTTTCTCCGTTTTCTTTCTTTTTTTGAAAAAAACGGGATAATTATATACACACCACACACACTAACTAAAGCCAATTACACATTTTTAACGTCTTCTTAAGGTTGTCTTGTCACGTTCTTCTTTGCATGCAATTTTCGAATAATTCGTACAAAGATTATTTGACCCGAGAAAAAAAAAATCATAGTGCAGACGTTATATTGAAAATGTATGTCACCTAGTCCGAGTTAGTTAATCAGTAACTCCTGAATCCTGACTAACAGCAACTGACACTTGACAGTTTTTTAAGTCTTTCGAAATTTCTCAGTCTTCATTAAACTAAATGTCAAATATTGCAGATATGAATAACTCTTTTCCCTTTTAAAATCGTCTGGTTTAAAAAAAAAAAAAAAAATCCACGCCAGTAGTTCGTTTTTTTTTTTTTTTCTTTTCTTAATCATTCTAAAAGGATTTACGCAACTAGCAAGTTTCTGAGTGGAATATATTGTTCTCCAACATTAATATGTAGAATTCGAGCTACTACTACTTTTCATTAGGAGTGTTAAAAAAAAAAACTAAAAAAAACAAAACCACGTATTTATTGATATTCAATTAGCCTTTGAGTTAAAAATTGACATTTATGTTTCTCTAAGTTTCAAAAACAATACTTATTCCAAACCTGCGTCATTCTTAAACTTGTGACTAAAGCAACTACAACCAAGTTGGTTAAAAAAAACTAAATTCATTCTTAATTCGAAAGTACTGTTTCTTATCAGAAGATTAATTCTTTTTTAAATTATTAAATTGGCTATATTTTGTCTGTGCTTGATAATTGAAGTTAAAAGTATCTTGCAAAATGAATATTTAATCATTAATGTGATTGAAAATAAGTATTGATGACTAAAATAAAAGGTAATTCTTGCTCTTGAAAACTGAAAGTAACATTCAACCTTACTTCTCGTACTTATAATAGAAGTTCAACAAACTTAGATCTATTGGGCTTGCTTCGAGGTTCTATACTTTTTGTCAGTATTTTTATAACTTTCTTTCCATTACATTTTAATCTCTTCCAACCAAGAGAAATAAGTAGTCATCTATTTCATAATTATTTAAACAATTTATCTATGTCTATCCACATTAATACAGTGAAGAAGTATTTTGTCAAGACAGAATGATGGTTCACTGTAGTGTAGATTTTCCCTTCTATTTTCCATGTTTCTGGATTTTTGCCTTTATTAAAATTAATGGACCATGGCAGTATCTTGAAATATGTAACAGCTGTGGTTTCCTCTTGTAACTTCTGGAATTAATGAATTTTAAATTCAATTAATCAAATTATTGATTCTTTTATTATAGTGAATTTAGTAACTGACTTATGGTCACCAAAGCTGATTCATCAAATTAATTGTAAAGTTCAACATAATGAAATCATTTTCATTTAAAGAAAAAAAGCTGCAAAAAATAATACTGGCATATATATATATTAAACACTGGAATACATAGGTAGATATGAATTGTAAAACCTTGTTTTTGTACATACACACTCTTTGCTGATACAATTTACCTGAAGCCAATTTTTTCCTCTTGGTTACCTTAGTGACAATTTATTGTAGTTGATGTAATGAATTAAATGTTTATTACTGTAAAAATGAATTTTGTTTTAATTGCTTTTCAGTTTTTGTCTAGCATGCTTGATATTGAATAATCAATTTACTGAAAAGATTGGGAATAATTTGGTCATAGAAATAATTAAATACTCATTATAGCGGCTTACCTTGCTTGAAGACTATATAAAAAATAAAAATAAAATTAGACTGAATCTTATAAAAGATTAAAATCTGTTAAAACACATAGCAATGAGTATATGGTGTTCTTTTGGATATAATTTCTTAGTATTTGAATAAAATGAAAATTGAAGAAAAGAACATTTTAATCTTAGCAAAGTTTCTCTGTATAAAATCTCAAGTGAGAGGGGAAATTAAAATACTTTTAAAAGTATAATCTAGCTAGTATATTTGTATTTATTGTACTTTTACATACAATTATGGCATGAAACCGAAAAAAATCTAGCTAGTATATTTACATCATGGTATTACCTAAATTTAAATTGGTGATACTCTCTAAAAAATCCACTCAACAATCTCCTAGACTAATCATTTCTCTATGGATAGTAATTATATTGAATTGAAGCAATTTCTCTTCTAGCAAAATTAAAAAGGAAATTGTTTAACCAGTTTCTTAACCACAAATAAACACATCAAACATAAACATAATCTGGCACAAAACAATTTTTTTTTTATTGTGGAACACTCTGGTTTTGTAAAATATACTTCTAACATTAGTTAATTTTTTTTTTTTTTTTTTTTTTTACTAATTTAAAGCTTAAATATACATATTAAGTTAATGTTTGCAGGCCATAACAAGCTAATTGAAATGAAAGATGGCTCTAACAAGAATTGTCCTTTGAAACAAAGGATTATTTGAAAAGGAAAGTAAGCATGGAGTATGGCAAAAGATGTTGGTTGTTTCCAGTAAGCTGTATGTAAAATTTGCTCGCTGATCTGTCAGCTATAGGACCAAAAAAGATGGTTGTCATTGCTTTAACACTTAATTTAAGACACTTTTATCATTCCATAAATAGATAGGTTCTGTGATAATAGTCATTTTTTCAGGATGTAAAACATGTAAAAAGAAAGGCATATCAATAAGCTGTTCAGATTTAAATCTGGAAAATTGGTAGAAATCTCAAAATATTACTCATGATAAAGTTGATCTGTAAGAAGCTGGAATCATCTTGATGAAAAATATTGATTTTATTTATTTTTTCTTTAGATGTTAAACAGGAATGGATCATATCTATAATTTGTTTATTTTAATGCAAATTAAAAAAACTCAGCTGATTGAATATCATCTATAACTTTTGACAGGGCTTAATAAGATCAATCTTCATTTTCAGATTCACTGTTGAAACCAGCATTCAAGGGAAATTTTCCCTAAGTAATTGTATGTGTATACATACAAGCTTTCTAAATTTTTAACACTTAGCCAGTATTGTTGGTAGAAAATGTGGAATTATTGCCCAGATTACATTTTTCCATATAAACCTGGATGTGACTGTAGATTAATTTGGAATTTCTCTCTAATTCCAGGCACCTTACAGAAGAAGGAATTGCTGAATGTATTGAAAATGGAAACAAAAGTGCACAAGCAATTATAAAAGCTGCCCTTGATGTATGTTTATCTTGTATTTTACTTGATAATTTATTTTTATTTTTTAACTACCTTCAATTTCTGTGCATATTTTGTAAATTTTTAACATTTCCTCCATTTTGACTATTTACCAATATTGTCTTCAATCCAGATATCCAATAAGAAAATACACTGAAATGACTTAGAATATGTGTAAATTTGCTTTAAAGATGATCAATTGTCTTAATTTCAAAACTTGACATTCTAGAAGACCTTTCTTGACTGTTAAATAAAATGAATGTAGACTGAAAATATTTTTGTTTCTATTATAATAAATCCTCTCAATGCCTTAACAATAAATAATGCCTATCCTAAAAAATGGTATTTCATTAAACATGTGATATTGCTTTTCACAAAAATTAGTTGCATATTTTCTGACTGAAAATAGTTTGTTTTTATTCTGTATTAATAGAAGAATGAATTGTCTTATTTAGGTTACTTTCAAAGTTTTTGTCACAAAATAGATTGAATAATTTGTATAGAATTTTTTACTTTAAAAAAAATGTATTCCTGTCTTGACTTGAGTGCTTGGGACAAAATGATAAATATTGCATATAAAATCACAATTGATGAAGATTTGTATTAGGGATTAAGTGGAGAAACGATACTCTCTGGAAGAATATTAGCAAAGAGATAATTTCTCATTCACAGTGGTATAGGTTTACCAAGCAATTACAAAAAGACTATATTTACTTGCTCACTTCAGTAAAATGTCGCAAGACAGTTTGAGAATTCATATATACATGGGTCTTAGTAACAAAATTTGCTCAGTCTCTGTACATCTCTATTTGAATCACCTCAGGGATTGGTGATTAGCCCAGACCCTCTCAATGCAGTGGAATGGGTAAATTGCCTTCTGAAACTGAGTATATAACATGTTGTGTTTTTTTTTTTTTTTTTTTTTTTTTTTTTCTTCCCTGTAATTAAAATCCCAACTAATAGGAAGGGCAAATTTTTTAAAAATTACTAAGACAGAAAAATTCAGTTTATTTAGTCTTGACAGATGTTTATTTGTAAGGGAGTGATGTAGCCTTTTCATTTAGGTTCCATAATACAATTTTAATTTTCTGTTTTCATATTTTAGTTGAACATTACAAAGGCTTTAATTTACAAATGTACTACTCTTACAATAAAGACTACAATTTTAATTTCTTTCAGTTTAAATAAGAAATTTTTAACAGCAGTATTGTTAATCTACTTTGCAAATGTTTAAAAATTCAGTGAGCTTTTTTTTTTTTTTTTTTTTTTTTTTTTTTTTTTTTTTTTATTGAATTTATAATTCCAGACTGATCTTCGCCATATTGGAGAAAAATATCTCCCTGATGACATTAACAGAGGTAGGGTAGATTATGTAAGTATTTCAATTTTTTTTCTTTTTTTTTTTTTTTTTTTTCCAAAATCCCTTATTGTTAATATACATTAACAATAGGAGTATAACCCATCTTTGACTGGGTCTTTCATTATCAGGACTTTTTGCCATTCAATTGGAGCGGCTTAAGTTTAAAGTCAGCCACACACAAATCAATATTAGTAACAACAATTGGGTGTAACTGAGGCACATTCCCAAATGCAAAGGGGGGGGCTGAAAAGAGCCGTTTTTGCATTCTCAATTTCAGCAGCAGTTGAAGAGGTGTTTCTCCTCAGCCATTGAGTCCATTGATCTTCACTCATTGGCTCTGAAGCATTTTGAGTGGCATTTTGAGACTGGCAAACTGAACATTCTTTCTTTGGTGGCATGTCTTAGGCAAGTATGAATTGTCAAATGGAATATGTGGGCAAATACCAGAAGAGAATGCTAAAAAGCTACAAGAATTACTGAGCTGAAATAACTTTAGGAAAGCTTGGAAAAAAATGTTGAGTAACAAGAAAGCAAGATTACTTTAGTGAATGCAATGCAAAAACTGGCATAAAAAAAAAAAAATTGGGAATGGCTATAAATGACAATGAAAGCAACTCCTTAAAACTGTAGTAGTAGGCTTTATGCAATGGAAAAGTTAACCTCACTTGAGAGATATTGATTGCTTGTCTAAGAGAAAGGGAATGTTTAACCAGGGCTGGACGTACAGAAGCAGAATTGCAGAATTAAGCAGTAGCAATGAGCTTAGGACTGTGTAGACAATCAGTATGACATTGTGACATTTGATTGGACATAATAAAGGAGCTTTGTGCCACCAATGGGCAACTCTAACAGGTGTCACATTCTGCAGGTCATGTTTATGTGTATGCATCAGTGCAGGACACATTGCGTGACAAAGGGCGCATTGCAGGTCCACGTGTATGCACAGTGCTGCACGCACTAATTATAAAGGTCAGCAGCAACTGATGGGCAACGTGTGGAGATATGAATCACGCCCACACAACATGACTTAGGATTGGAAGGTTACGTGTGAAAAAGTAAATTAAATTTTTGCCTTTGATTTTTGTGCAAAGTGGGGGGGGAAAAAAAATCAGTTTTGCTATTTTTTACCTTCAAGGTTGTAATTTTTTCCAGCCAATTTGAACACAAAACTGGCACTGAAGAATCATCTATCAAACAAAATAAATTTCATTGAAATCAGATGAAAATGCATAAACAACATTCTCTCTCTCTATATATATATATATATATATATATATATATATATATATATTAAACTGTATAATATTATTGTAATAATTTTAACTATTTTTATTAAAGTTTTATGAAATGAAAGATATATATCCAGGAACAGATAGTAATACATTGCTGAGTTATAATGGACAGGAAGTATGGGAGAGCCTTTGTTGCCAATAATTTGGACTCAAAACCGGCACTGAAGAAATATTTATCAAACAAAAGAAATTTCATCGAAATCTGATGAAAACTGGAAATGCATAAACATCTGATCACTCACACACATTTTGAGAATTATAGATGTAGATGAAAAATGTAATGGTATGCAGAAAATTGATATTAATTTCATAGACTTACAAGAACACTTCTCAGCCTTAATGTGTGTTTAAAAGTAAAATTATTACTCATTTATACTGTTGTTTTTCTGAATTGAGACAATACAAAAAAAAATCTTTAATGCTCTTTGTAGAAATCTACAAAGAGAAAGGCATTCTGTCAGTAAAATCTTGTACTTAATGATTTAAATGAAATAAAGCTGAATTACTGAGAACAAGAATTTACTGTGGGAAGGTCTGTAGGATTAGTTTAGACTTGCGTATAGAACACTAAATTGGTTGAGATAAAGTTTGGCTTTTAATAAAATCAGAAGAAAGAAAAAAAAAAAAAAAGAAGCAATTATGGTCTCACTTTTAAAATTGATAGTTGAATCAGGAAATGAGTGAAAAAGTTGAAACATTCCTGAAACTTTTCTTCTCATACTGGGTTCCCAAGAAATGAAATATTGTGTTTTTCATTTTATTAATTTTTCTAGTGGACATTTTTTTTAAAAAAAAAACAAATGAAAACTTATTCCTGTTTTCTTAGACTTTTGTGATATTATTAAGTATTTTATTTGCTTACAGATTCAGGGCCCATGTATTCTTCAAGTACAGAAAATCCGTAATGTTTCTGCTCCTAAGGACAATGAAGAATCTCAAGCAGCACCCCGTTTACTGAAATTGACACTTACAGATGGACATAATAGCTGCTCTGGAGTTGAAATGGATACAGTTCACACTGTGAGGTAAGGAAAACTTAATTGATAGATGATAATGAAACTGAATTTCCTTAGGAAGGATTTACTGTTCTTCTCCCAAATTTCTTTAACTTTTATTTATTTAACTTTTCATATCTCTATTGTTAGGTTTGGGAACCAAACTTTAGGTGTAAAGGAGGAAAAATAACTCTTCATTCCCTAAATCTGTTTGGTCTGCTTTATATAAATATGAACATAAACAGAATGTAAACTAATACACTTCTGGTTAAAAAATATAAGATACTATTACTTTTAATGGAAATATATTTGAGAAACATTTACATTTAATTAGAAAATGTAGTTTATCAACAAACAAGTGAAAATTTGAAGCTTTTAATTCATTAATTTAAACAAACATTGAAAAAGTATTTTTTGGTTGGTCATAAAGATGAGACCATGGGGGAGGATTACTGGACAAAAATTTTAGAACTAGTCAGTGTGTGCAGAGCTTCAGGCATGCAGACATCTATTTAGCTCATTTCCAGCATTAAATTTCAGACTTTAAAATGGCTAAGGGTAAAATTTTAACAAAGTTCGAACAGGGCAGGATTGTTGAACTTCAAAGACGTGGTCTTTCACTAAAAGTCATTGCAAATGAGATTGGCCATAGCAAATCTGTCATTGCTAACTTAATTAAAAATTAGGATGTGTATGTATCTAAAAAATCTAGTGGTTTCCTCAATAAAATCTCACCATCTCTAGATAGACTCGTTACATGTAAAGTTAAGAGATTTAAGCCTAACATCAAATCAGATAAAAGCGAATACAGAAGCTGAATGCAGCTCTCAAACAATTCAATAGCATTTAAATAAGCGGTTTATTAACATGAAATGGCTGTAGAGGCCTCACCATAAAACCTCATGGTTACAATTTGCTTCTGATTATCAAATTTGGGATGTGGATAAATGGAAGAAAGTGTTGTTTTCAGGCAAGAAAAAATTCAATCTTTATGGTCCAGACGGTTTTCAACATTACTGGCATGCAAAAGATGTTCTAAAAGAAATTTCCTCAACACTACAGTGGAGGTGAATCCATTATGGTCTGGGGTTCATTTTCATGCAATGGAACTCTTGAGTTACAGGTGGTAAAAGGTTGTCAAACAGCTGCCAGTTACATCGACATGTTAAGAAAGGCATTGCTAATTACTTAAGAGCCTAGTCTGTGGAGAAAACTGGATTTTCCAGCAGCAACCCACAATTCTTGAAGGTTGATGGTTTAATTTTTTTTTTTTTTTTTTTTTTTTTTATGGAAAACATTCAGCTTTTGAGCCATCCACCATGCTCTAAACCAAATTTGGAATATTTGGGGATGGATAGCAAATGTTTATAAGCATGGAGGATCGCAATTTGAAACTGTAGATGCTCTTCATGCTGCAGCTTATGCGTCTTGGGCAATCATCCCAAGCACCCTCATGCAAAAGTTAATAATGAATATGCCAAAGTGAATTTCTGAAGTAATTTGCAAAAGGAGGATATACTGAATATTAAATTGTTGTTGTGACTTATTTGTTCTGTATTTTCTATTTTTATTTACATGATCTTATCTTAATGGCCAACCAAAAAAATTTTTTTTCAATGTCTAAATTAATCCATTAAAAGCTTCAAATTTTTCACTTCCATTTTTTTTTTTTTTTTTTTTTTTTTATAAACTAAATTTTCTAAATAAATGTAAATGTTTCTCAAATACCTTTCCATTAAAGTGGCAGTATTTTATATTTTCTTGTATCTGGTCTTAAGATTTTGGCCAGGAGTGAAAAATTGGCCCATTCATGTTGGTGTGCTTACTTTAGTATATTAACATATCTGGTGATTTCATTGTGGTAATGAGCTCAGTACTTATTGGAATGCTCACTACTGTTTTGTGCCACACTTAGATAGATATACTAATTAACTAATATGAGTACTTTGGTATTTTTAAATGGTAAAAATAAGATTTAATAATTTTAAGTTAGGTAAAATTATTACTCATTTTATTATGTTATTTGTTTTTCTGAATTGAGACAATGCAAAAATTTCTTTGGAATTTTTGATATTAAGTATTTTATTTATGATCAAATCAGTTATTTGTCTCATTTAAGTAACTGACAACCCACTAGTGAGACTTTTCTTTCTTATCAGCATCATTTCACTTGTCAATAGTAGTCCACAACCTGTGGCAGTACTCACAATTCCACATAGCTGCCATCAGGTGTTCCCTCATAATCCCTGTGACCCTGCTGAAGACATCAGGAAAGCTAGGTTTCTTGCTTCTACTATGGAGTTGAGATCTCCTGATGACTAGTGATGTGATGACCTCGTTCTCTTCTCAATAACTGTCCTGTAAATTGAATTCCCTTAGCTTTCACTGAAGAGTGGAGACTGGATATTTCAGCCAACAGTAAAGTTGAGGGTTTGATCAATGAATGCTTCCTGTATGGAAACAGCTAATTTCACCATTACTATTTCCATAATGCTTAAACATTCAAAACATTTTAAGTCTGTCTACAGTCAGACCTTACTGAAATCAATACAAATAAAGACAACCTCTGGTTATTTTCTATAACTTCCTCTAAGAGTGAATTAAGTGACAAAATTTGACTGAATTGTGGTTCTCCTAACTTTAAAACTATTTTGGTTCTTCAGAAGAGGCTCAGCAAAAGGAATATGATTAAGGATCAATTTGTTGTAGATTTTTACAGCAATTGAGAAGTGTTATTAAAAGTGGATTGAGACTGGCACTAAATGGATGAACAAGTTTTATTAATAAAACACAAATTGCTGCTGCTTTTTTTTTTTTTTCTCTCCACAGCTGTTATGTTTTACAGTGACATTAGGTAATATTCTACTGGCACTTTTTAAGATCCTCTTTCATTGGTTGGCAGTGAATTTTCAAGCTCGTAGCATTTATGCTTTTACTTTTTACATAGAATATCAATGGCCACATCTTAATCTTGAAACTTGCTATATATGCATTACTGCATGTGTTGTCAATCTTTACTTATTTAACCCCTCCTCCTCCACACACACACACACACACACACGCACACACACACGTTTACATGTTAAATGGTCTAATTTACTCCAGCTTAAGTGAAGTTAGTTTCAAGTGCTCAATAGTTTAACTTTCCACAGTGACCTAGATTTTTAATTTTAGTAAAATTTTTAATAAAATTTGTTTGTAAACAAAATTTAATCTCTTCCTTTTTATAAAGAGATAATTCTCTCATGTATAATCATTACTTTTTATTCCATGTCTCTTTAAATCTTTCATGTCTCTGCATTTATACAACTTGAGTGTATGTGAATCAGAAAGGGGGTATACTGTGTTCATTTCATGCAAAACTGTTGGGTCTGACACATTAAAATTTGTATTGCTGACTGAGTGAAGGAACATCACCAGCTGAATCATTTTAAATCGTACTTGTTTTATAAATGGATGTGACAGTTTAAGTCTTCCTTATATTTTCTTTAAATATACATTTTAAAACTAAAGCCAATTTATTTGTGAAATAAATTGGACAAAATAAAACAAAAAAAAAACTGTAGATTCAAATTCTATTTTGTTTGTGTTTTTCTCTCTCTCTCTCTCTCTCTCTCATGAAAATAACTGAAATAATAAAATAAAAAATAAAAAAAAAACTGGTAAGTTTTGAACAGTTTTAATAACTTAATTCTCTGAAGTTAAATCGTTTTTATTTGAAAGATAGCTACCTAAAAGCAAGTTTGAAAAAAAAAAAAGTTTTAAAACATCGCTATGGTCATACAGAATTTACACTCTTGACAAAGTGAAAATAACAAATTTAAGAATCCATTATTTGTCTTGTTTTAAAGTAATTTAGGAAAAATTAAGGAATCAGATTGGGCCCCCCCCACTTAAAATACAGTGAAAATAATGTTTGTCTGGTAATCCATGAGCTGTCATGACTATAGTGGCCTTCTAATGTTAACACTTAAAAATGTTATTAAACTTCATTAATAGAAAAATCCCTTAGGAATTCAGAATTGCAATGAAAAATTACAAGTAACCCCCCCCTTTTTTTTATGTAAGGGTAAAAAATTTTCTCGAACACTCTTTGAAATTTCAAAATTTAGATAATGGTATTTGAAAGTTGGGTAGAACTAACAAAACGATATGCATCATTTTACCATTGCTCAACCTCAAACATGTTCAAGGGCAATCAGGCGGGAGCTCGACTGGAAATGCAATCAGTTCTTGGCATGTCAAGAAACTATGCAAAACATTTGTGACAAAGACAAGCAACATGATATACTTTTGAAACTTTATCTACAAGAAAGCATTACTAAAAATGAGGCAAAAAAGAGTGAAGCTGCTGCTGAAATAGAATCATTAAATCAATCATCAAGTATGGTGGCCCTGTGATGTCTATTAAAGTTGTACAACAAGTAGTGGTCTGGAAGATCAACTTAGATATCAGGAGGTTCTATTAGGTATCAAGATCAACAGCAGGGAAGTAAATGTTGATGCCAGGAAAATCAGTTGATTCATTTCCACCACTAAGACACAGGAAAGAAGAAAAGGCATTCAGTGATTCTGAATATTTAAACAACTCTAGCAGTTGTGATGAAGAACCACTTTGGGTGAATTTCAGTTATGAGCACCAAGGCAAATAGGTTGCAGTATATTATGACTCCAACTTTTACATTGGTCAAGTTATTTATATTGCATCTCTATTTAGTGCTGTGATAATTTGTATTTTTATTTTTTATTTTTATTTATTTATTTTTTTTGTTTAGCCTCTACAAAGAGCAGAAATTATTTCTGATGGCCTTTGTCAGATGATATTGCACAAATGGAATCAACATTTGTCTTCAGATGTTACTTTGATGTAATGCCATTTTCAAATGATGACTGGATATGGAGTGTTCCAGAAATATTAGCCAGCTCAGACTTATAAGGAAATTCAGTCAGCAAATCACCATAAGAAGTGCAAGAGAACCACTCGATGTTCAGAAAGTTTTTTTTCTATCAGTTTAAAACCCTATTGTATG